ACAGTATTACATTTTGCACATGACTTCTAGCTCTATCAACAGGCTACGAAGCATCCATCAATCGTCGTATAAAATCACCTCTATTGCGCTATAACTCCATAGTAGAGTCATGTAGAGAGTACACTACTACATGTAGATCAAACAGTCAGGACATTTAAAGCATCGCCACTCAGTAACCTTTACAAAGACACTGACAGTCTTTCGCCGGAGTGTTTTCAGTTGGCACTCTTACGAAAGCTTTTGTTGCCTTTTTAACACATGTACGGTTTCTCCGCTCTGTGAGTTCGCACGAAGTGTCTCTTTAAACTGCTGCTTGTAGTGAACTGCCTGCTGCACTCCTCACATCTGTACGGTTTCTCACCCGTGTGAGTCCGAATGTGTATCTTTAAATGTGACAGTGTACTAAACGACCGGCTGCACTCCTCACATCTGTATGGTTTCTCACCTGTGTGAGTCCGTATGTGTTTCTTTAGACTACTCAGATCACTGAACTGCCTGTTTCACTCTTCACATCTGTACGGTTTTTCACCAGTGTGCGTCCGCATGTGTACATTCAGACTATACTGCTGACTGAATTGCCTGCTGCACATCTCACATCTGTACGGTTTCTCACCCGTGTGAATCCGCATGTGAGTCTTCAGATTACCCAGCTTACGGAACTGCTTGCTGCACTCCTCACATCGATACGGTTTCTCACCAGTGTGGCTTCGCATATGTGTCTTTAGACTAGCCAGCTGGCTAAACTGCTTGCTGCATTCCTCACATTGATACGGTTTCTCACCTGTGTGAATCCGCATGTGTGTCTTCAGATTACTCAGTGTACTAAACTGCCAGCTGCACTCCTCACATTTGTACGGCTTCTCCCCAGTGTGAGTCCGCATGTGTGTTTCCAGATTACTCAGTGTTCTGAACTTTCTGCCAAACTCTTCACATTTGTACGGCTTCTCACCAGTGTGAGTCCTTATGTGCTTCTTCAGAGAACCCAGCTCACTGAACTGTCTGCCACACTCTTCACATCTGTACGGTTTTTCCCCAGTGTGAGTCCGCAAGTGTATCTTAAGATGCGACAGTGTACTAAAAGACCGGTCGCACTCCTCACATCTGTATACTAAACAGTTTCTCTCCCGTGTGGATCGTCATATGAGTCTTCAGACTACCTTGGGTGCTGAACTGTCTGTTGCACTCCCCACACGCGTAGGGTTTCTCCCCAGTGTGGTTTCGCATATGTGTCTTCAGATGACCCAGTGTATTAAACTGCTTGCCGCACTCCCCACACCGGTAGGGTTTCTCACCTGTGTGAGTCCGCATGTGCTGCTTCAGCTGACTCGGGTAACGAAACTCCTTGCCACACTCGCTACACTTGTGGGTACGCGGAGCATCCTGCTCCCCACGCCTATTCTCTCCGTTCAAATGAGATGCATATCCAGTGGACATGTTAAACTACTGATCCTGCAGGAATGAAAAAAAATCGATATTTCATTTAAATAAATATATCAGCTTCAAAGGGGTCACGAAATTTATATGATATATAACTTGCATACTGACAAATGCGCCTAAACATGTCAGTTACATGTAATGGTTTTGGTTTATAGAAATTTATAGTTGGGTTTGTGTGGCGCTAAACCTGGTTTCATCGGAGATGATAATGATTCAAATAGCTAGATTAGAATGGCCAAGAATGAAAAATACTGAATGGCCAAGAATGAAAAATGAAAAGTTCTTCGTCCGCCGATTTATAAATTAACCTACAAATATATGCCGCATTGAAGTTACAGATAAAGAAAATACTGGAAAATTCGGCACTTACCAAGATGCACTGACGCTCCAAAGTACTGCAAGGTGATTTCACAACGGCACAGATCCTCACGGCTGCAGAGTCAGTACTGACAGAAACAGAGCATACAGGGACGCGTTTATATAGGGACTAAGTGGGTGGATAAAACCGGTCCGGTGGATTTTACTTCATTACTACACAAAGGAAACCACCATGCTGATTTGCATAGGGAAGAATCAGACAACATCATTCGTAGAAAAAAGACACCGAGTTTGAGACTAACAATAATGTTGGCGATCAATAAAAACAACAACATAATTACGTATCTGAATTCATTGTTAAAATTATCATTTTGTATACGTTGATTTGCATAGGGGCAAATTAGACAACATCCCTAGGAAAAAGTTCAAGAAAGAAGACAACACATTACATTTATTGGTGAAACTGAGATGCAGAAAGTTGACAAATCTCTAACAGCTACATATGTGTTTACAGAACACTTGGAAACAAACCATATCTGCAAACATCTAAACCATCTTTTATAACCAACACGCATGGTGCTAACTAATTCTAAATTTCTAATCCTAACCAACGGTCTACAGAGCATACAACAGTAGTGGGTAAAATTTACGTTATTCTTAGTATTACACTAAAGTCAAGTAGAGGGTACAAAACTATGTTCACACATGTACGGTTTTTATTGTGTGAGTCGACATATGTGTCTTTAGATTTGACAGATTAAAATGCTTGATGCACTTTTCACATCTATATGGTTTTTCACCTGTGTGAGTCCGCATGTGGTTTTTCAGATTAATCAACTGACTAAACTGCTTGCTGCACTCCTCACATCCGTACGGTTTCTCACCAGTGTGACTTCTCGTGTGCTGCTTCAGATTATCCAGTCTGCTGAACTGCATGCTGCACTCCTCACACATGAACTGTTTCTCACCAGTGTGAGTCCGCATGTGTCTTCTCAGACTACTCAGCCTGCTGAACTGCCTCCCACATTCCTCACATCTGTACGGCTTCTCACCCGTGTGAGTCCTTATGTGCCTCTTTAGATCTCCCAGATCACTGAACTGTCTGCCACACTCCTCACACCTGTACGGTTTCTCACCTTTGTGAGTCCGCACGTGTCTGTTCAGTTTAGCCAGCTCACTGAACTGTCTCCCACATTCCTCGCATTGGTAAGGTTTCTCACCTGTGTGAATCCGCATGTGTCTTTTCAGATTACCCAGCTCGCTAAACTGCATGCTGCACTCCTCACACGTGTAGGGTTTCTCACCGGTGTGGGTTCTGATATGCTTCTTCAGATCACCCAGCGTACCAAACCACTTGCTACATTCCTCGCACTGATACGGCTTCTCACCCGTGTGAGTCCGCATGTGTCGCTTCAGATGACTCAACTGACTGAAGCCTTTGTTACATTCCTCACACCGGTAAGATTTCTCACCCGTGTGTGTCCGCATGTGTTGCTTCAGATGACTCAGGAAGCGAAACTTCTTGCCGCACTCGTTACATTCGTGGGAACGCGGAGAACCCTGGTTTCCACGTCTATTCTCTCCCTCCTCTTGTCTCTGGTGGGATTCGGCTCTGGCCGCCATGTTCCTGATCCTAAAGGAATAATTTAAAATTCAATATATCAATCGTATGTACATGTACGGTATATAGCATGTATACTGACAAATGCCTTTAAACGTTATTGCATCTGTTTTGGATAATCGATACAAGTTGTGACTGGCCTGCATGAAAGCATGAGTTTTTAAAGGACATGATAACAGTAAGGATAGCACAGGAAACGTTGTAACAAAGGTAACTCAAAATGTGAGCGACTTAACAGTGTACGTCAGCGGAATTAAAAAGTTAATAGCATATAAATCTGGTTTCATGCAGACGAAAACACGTCTTCGGGCACATGGCTTTGATGTTTGGTATCCAAGCAAAAAACTTGTCAACACTGAAAAATATGAAAAGTCCGAATGTAAACAGAAGTATAAAGTTTGACCTATGACGAAGAAGATGTCAGAAATCTGTCGTCACAATTAAATACAGAAAAACGAAATCATAGTTGAAGTTGACACTTACCAAGATGCACTGACGCTCCAAAGTACAGCACGTTTTCCCGACGACACAGATCCTCACGGCTGCAGAGTCAGTACTGACAGAAACAGAGCAGTCAAGGACGCGTTTATATAGGGACTGAGTGGGTGGATACAACTGGTTCGTCAGGTTTTACTTGATTACGAAACAAAGGAAAGTATCTTGTTACATGAGCCGATTTGCATAAGGGCAATCAGACAGCATCATTAGAAAAAGATGTTTATATAGGGACTGAGTGGGTGGATAAAACCGGTCCGATAGGTTGATTACGCAACAAAGGAAAGCACCGTGCTTATTTGCATACTAGAAAAATCAGACATCATTCGTAGTAAAAAGAGACCGACATATTTCACATGATCTCACATAACTCACAGATGCTCGAGGATAATGTATGCCACTACTTATGATAGAGATTGAGAGACAACAACATATTACCTGAATGTATTGTTGAAATTGAGAAATTTTTGAAATATCTAAATACTCCAGTTGAATTTTACCCGCTAGTTCTTGTTCTAATCAACGACGTTATACTGTATAATGTCCTTGCTCTATATCAAGGACATTTGCTCGTATCACGCGATTCCCGACCGATTTGAAGTATCTGGTACCGCCACAGCGAATGTAGGTGGTCAACAAAGGTCTTACCTGTCTTTCAAAACTGCCCAGAGTTGATACAGAGCCGAAGTAAGGCGAAAATCGCCTCAGATTGGAGAGAACAATGACACCGCACGCAAGGCTCAAAAATGGCGGTTCAGCGTCAGCATAGGTCAAACCTATCGAAGGCAAAGGTTAAAGGTGACAAACCTGATTACCCGGGTTGTGTAGTTACGGACGCCTTGTCGGATATAAGGAATTACGTCTGGTATATCAGTTTAAGCAATTGTCTAATACACAATTATAGCACAATAGAGACGACGAAAAATTAGGAAAAAGAAGATATTTGCGAAGGAGATGCCGTAATGATGATGACGACTAGTTACGAGATATAACGAGTTCTTTATTGCAAGTTCGTGCCCGAGGGCTAATTGGGAACAGAAATGGAACAATGAGTACAGAATGGGGTGAATTTAAGACTATGATTATGCTAACATGCTTATTTAACTCACTATATCTACTTTAAAACTAACCTAACGTTGGTGTACAGGGTAAAGAGTGGATATGATTCGCATAAATAGTAGACGTGGTAAATGCTATTCTATTCTATGGTATACTATTCTAGCAAAGTTGCACACTGGTCTACAGGGTGAAGAGCAAGGGGACAGAGAACATGGAAAAATGACGGCGATGGTGACCAATAAATACGGCACATAACGCGCTTTATTGTTGAAACTGAGATGCAAAAATTTGACAAATTTCTAACAGCCACCTCTGGTTAACAGAACACTGGAACTGAGAGAAACAACAGTTCACTTTTTTTCACTCCACATTTTACAAACAACATTAATGTGATGCAAACATAACTAAACGCTAAAAATCTAGTATATTTACAGATACTAAAACAAAGAAAACTACATTTCGATGAATTGATAACATACTTCACAAAACGCTAAAGATCTAGATTTACATGCCTACATGTAGTTGACTAAGTTACAGACGGACAATGATACTTGAGGTTAAACAGTGTCTTACCGTGTAACTATTGTCTAAATACTACACTTTTGCATTTCATACACGACTTCTAGCTCTAATCAACAGGGTACGGAGCATGCATCGATCATCGTGATATAAAATCACCGCTATTGTTAACTATTACAGTGGAATCATATAGAGAATACAATGACAGAAAAAATACTAAAAAATGGTTTAACTTGCAAAAGAATATCACAATGAGATCAAACAGTAAGGACATTTAAAACATCGCCACTCAGTAACCTTTACAGAGACAGTCTTTCGCGGGAGTGTTTTTTTCAGTGGGCACTCTTAAGAAAGTACGGTTTTTGCTCTTTGTGACTTCGCACGACGTGTCTCTTTAAACTGCTGCTTGTGGTGAACTGCCTGTTGCACTCCTCACATCTGTACGGTTTCTCACCCGTGTGAGTCCGCATATGTATCTTTAAATGTGACAGTGTACTAAACGACCGACTGCACTCCTCACATCTGTATGGTTTCTCACCAGTGTGAGTTCTAATGTGCTTCTTGAAATCACTGAACTGTCTGTTACACTCCTCACATCTGTACGGTTTTTCAACAGTGTGAGTCCGCAGGTGTACATTCAAACTATACTGCTGACTGAATTGCCTGCTGCACATCTCACATCTGTACGGTTTCTCACCTGTGTGAATCCGCAAGTGAGTCTTTAGGTGGCTAAGATGACTGAAGCTCTTGTCACATTTCTCACACCCATACGGTTTCTCACCTGTTTGAGTCCGCATGTGTCGACTCAGATGACTCGGGTAACGAAACCCCATGCCACACTCGCTACACTTGTGGGTACGCGGAGAATTATCCTGCTCTTTTTGCCCACTCTCTTCCTCCTCTTGTTTCAGGTGAGATTCAGCTCTGGTCTCCATTTGGTCAAACCCCTGATATCCTACGGGAATATGTAAAATTCAGATGTCAGATGTTATACTGAGAAATGCTTCTAAACATTCATTAAAAATGTAGGCTGATTTAAAATGTAACCTAACACATTGACGTTAAATGAACGGTGTCCTGTCATGTAACTATTGTCTAAATACTACAGTATTACATTTTGCACATGACTTCTAGCTCTATCAACAGGCTACGAAGCATCCATCAATCGTCGTATAAAATCACCTCTATTGCGCTATAACTCCATAGTAGAGTCATGTAGAGAGTACACTACTACATGTAGATCAAACAGTCAGGACATTTAAAGCATCGCCACTCAGTAACCTTTACAAAGACACTGACAGTCTTTCGCCGGAGTGTTTTCAGTTGGCACTCTTACGAAAGCTTTTGTTGCCTTTTTAACACATGTACGGTTTCTCCGCTCTGTGAGTTCGCACGAAGTGTCTCTTTAAACTGCTGCTTGTAGTGAACTGCCTGCTGCACTCCTCACATCTGTACGGTTTCTCACCCGTGTGAGTCCGAATGTGTATCTTTAAATGTGACAGTGTACTAAACGACCGGCTGCACTCCTCACATCTGTATGGTTTCTCACCTGTGTGAGTCCGTATGTGTTTCTTTAGACTACTCAGATCACTGAACTGCCTGTTTCACTCTTCACATCTGTACGGTTTTTCACCAGTGTGCGTCCGCATGTGTACATTCAGACTATACTGCTGACTGAATTGCCTGCTGCACATCTCACATCTGTACGGTTTCTCACCCGTGTGAATCCGCATGTGAGTCTTCAGATTACCCAGCTTACGGAACTGCTTGCTGCACTCCTCACATCGATACGGTTTCTCACCAGTGTGGCTTCGCATATGTGTCTTTAGACTAGCCAGCTGGCTAAACTGCTTGCTGCATTCCTCACATTGATACGGTTTCTCACCTGTGTGAATCCGCATGTGTGTCTTCAGATTACTCAGTGTACTAAACTGCCAGCTGCACTCCTCACATTTGTACGGCTTCTCCCCAGTGTGAGTCCGCATGTGTGTTTCCAGATTACTCAGTGTTCTGAACTTTCTGCCAAACTCTTCACATTTGTACGGCTTCTCACCAGTGTGAGTCCTTATGTGCTTCTTCAGAGAACCCAGCTCACTGAACTGTCTGCCACACTCTTCACATCTGTACGGTTTTTCCCCAGTGTGAGTCCGCAAGTGTATCTTAAGATGCGACAGTGTACTAAAAGACCGGTCGCACTCCTCACATCTGTATACTAAACAGTTTCTCTCCCGTGTGGATCGTCATATGAGTCTTCAGACTACCTTGGGTGCTGAACTGTCTGTTGCACTCCCCACACGCGTAGGGTTTCTCCCCAGTGTGGTTTCGCATATGTGTCTTCAGATGACCCAGTGTATTAAACTGCTTGCCGCACTCCCCACACCGGTAGGGTTTCTCACCTGTGTGAGTCCGCATGAGCTGCTTCAGCTGACTCGGGTAACGAAACTCCTTGCCACACTCGCTACACTTGTGGGTACGCGGAGCATCCTGCTCCCCACGCCTATTCTCTCCGTTCAAATGAGATGCATATCCAGTGGACATGTTAAACTACTGATCCTGCAGGAATGAAAAAAAATCGATATTTCATTTAAATAAATATATCAGCTTCAAAGGGGTCACGAAATTTATATGATATATAACTTGCATACTGACAAATGCGCCTAAACATGTCAGTTACATGTAATGGTTTTGGTTTATAGAAATTTATAGTTGGGTTTGTGTGGCGCTAAACCTGGTTTCATCGGAGATGATAATGATTCAAATAGCTAGATTAGAATGGCCAAGGATGAAAAATACTGAATGGCCAAGAATGAAAAATGAAAAGTTCTTCGTCCGCCGATTTATAAATTAACCTACAAATATATGCCGCATTGAAGTTACAGATAAAGAAAATACTGGAAAATTCGGCACTTACCAAGATGCACTGACGCTCCAAAGTACTGCAAGGTGATTTCACAACGGCACAGATCCTCACGGCTGCAGAGTCAGTACTGACAGAAACAGAGCATACAGGGACGCGTTTATATAGGGACTAAGTGGGTGGATAAAACCGGTCCGGTGGATTTTACTTGATTACTACACAAAGGAAACCACCATGCTGATTTGCATAGGGAAGAATCAGACAACATCATTCGTAGAAAAAAGACACCGAGTTTGAGACTAACAATAATGTTGGCGATCAATAAAAACAACAACATAATTACGTATCTGAATTCATTGTTAAAATTATCATTTTGTATACGTTGATTTGCATAGGGGCAAATTAGACAACATCCCTAGGAAAAAGTTCAAGAAAGAAGACAACACATTACATTTATTGGTGAAACTGAGATGCAGAAAGTTGACAAATCTCTAACAGCTACATATGTGTTTACAGAACACTTGGAAACAAACCATATCTACAAACATCTAAACCATCTTTTATAACCAACACGCATGGTGCTAACTAATTCTAAATTTCTAATCCTAACCAACGGTCTACAGAGCATACAACAGTAGTGGGTAAAATTTACGTTATTCTTAGTATTACACTAAAAGTCAAGTAGAGGGTACAAAACTATGTTCTAAATTCTTCTACACTTTTGCATTTCATACACGACTTCTAGCTCTAATCAACAGGGTACGGAGCATGCATCGATCATCGTGATATAAAATCACCGCTATTGTTAACTATTACAGTGGAATCATATAGAGAATACAATGACAGAAAAAATACTAAAAAATGGTTTAACTTGCAAAAGAATATCACAATGAGATCAAACAGTAAGGACATTTAAAACATCGCCACTCAGTAACCTTTACAGAGACAGTCTTTCGCGGGAGTGTTTTTTTCAGTGGGCACTCTTAAGAAAGTACGGTTTTTGCTCTTTGTGACTTCGCACGACGTGTCTCTTTAAACTGCTGCTTGTGGTGAACTGCCTGTTGCACTCCTCACATCTGTACGGTTTCTCACCCGTGTGAGTCCGCATATGTATCTTTAAATGTGACAGTGTACTAAACGACCGACTGCACTCCTCACATCTGTATGGTTTCTCACCAGTGTGAGTTCTAATGTGCTTCTTGAAATCACTGAACTGTCTGTTACACTCCTCACATCTGTACGGTTTTTCAACAGTGTGAGTCCGCAGGTGTACATTCAAACTATACTGCTGACTGAATTGCCTGCTGCACATCTCACATCTGTACGGTTTCTCACCTGTGTGAATCCGCAAGTGAGTCTTTAGGTGGCTAAGATGACTGAAGCTCTTGTCACATTTCTCACACCCATACGGTTTCTCACCTGTTTGAGTCCGCATGTGTCGACTCAGATGACTCGGGTAACGAAACCCCATGCCACACTCGCTACACTTGTGGGTACGCGGAGAATTATCCTGCTCTTTTTGCCCACTCTCTTCCTCCTCTTGTTTCAGGTGAGATTCAGCTCTGGTCTCCATTTGGTCAAACCCCTGATATCCTACGGGAATATGTAAAATTCAGATGTCAGATGTTATACTGAGAAATGCTTCTAAACATTCATTAAAAATGTAGGCTGATTTAAAATGTAACCTAAAATAAGGTGCCACATGGCAGTACTGATAGCAAGTAAATACAGAAAAAGGAAATAATAGTCAGCACTTACCAAGATGAAATGACGCTCCAAAGTACTGCACGATGTTTTCACGACGACACAGATCCTCACGGCTGCAGAGTCAGTACTGGCAGAAACAGAGCAGTCAGGGACGCGTTTATATAGGGACTGAGTTGCTGGATAAAACCGGTCCGGTAGGTTTTAATTGCCCAAGAAACAAAGAAAAGCACCATGCTGATTTGCATAGGGAAGAATCAGACAACATAATTCGTAGTAAAAAGAGACCGAGTTGGAGACTAACAATAAAGTTTGTGATCAATAAAAACAACAACATATTACGTGTCTGAATTCAATGTTAAAATTATCTTGTTGTATGCGTTGATTTGCAAAGGGGAAAATTAGACAACATCCTTTGGAAAAAGAGAAATAAAGAACACAACACATTACGTGGTTTGATTTATTGGTGAAACTGATATGCAGAAAGTTAACAAATCTCTAACAGCTACAGCTACTTACAGAACACTTAAAAAGTAACAATATTTAACAAACAACACTCTATTGCATCTAGAACTATCACATATGCTGCTAACTAAGTCTAAATTTTACATTCTAAGAATCAAGTATACTGCGGTTACTTTAACGAACGATGTCCTACCATGTAACTACTGTCTAAATACTACCCTTTCGCATTTCAAACACGACTTCTAGCACTGATCAACCGGCTACGAAGCATGTATGCGCATCGACCGTGATATAAAAGCACCGCTATTGTTAACTATTACATTGGAATCATGTATAGAATACACTACTAACAGAAAAACGGTAAACAAGCGACTTCACTTACAATAGAATAGCATGCATCAAACAGAAAGATTCCCTTGCATTTTAACACATCTACGGTTTCTCCGCTCTGTGAGTCCGCACGTGTCTCTTTAAATTGCTGCTTGTGGTGAACTGCCTGCTGCACTCCTCACATCTGTACGGTTTCTCACCCGTGTGAGTCCGCATGTGTATCTTTAAATGTGACAGTGTACTAAACGACCGACTGCACTCCTCACATCTGTAGGGTTTCTCACCCGTGTGAGTCCGCATGTGTCTCTTCAGGTTACCCCGCGTGTTGAACTGCTTACTGCACTCCTTACATCTGTACGGTTTCTCACCAGTGTGAGTTCTTATGTGCTTCCTCAGAGTACCTAGCTCATTGAACTGTCTGCCACACTCTTCACACCCGTAGGGCTTCTCCCCAGTGTGAGTCCGCATGTGTGTTTCCAGACTACTCAGTGTTCTGAACTGCCTGCTACACCCCTCGCACCAATACGGTTTCTCACCTGTGTGAGTCCGCATGTGCTTCTTTAGATTACCCAGATCACTGAACTTTCTGC